GTATACACTGAAAAAATTGTTTGGTTTATTTTAGGTGATTTTCTTTTATATATTTCAGAGGCTTAATTCAAAAATAAAACCATTTTTCTTCTTCAAGTAACATTTTTAGTTTTCTCTTTAAATTTGTGTGATAAATTTTATTTGAATCTAGTACTTTCTAATATTAAATCCTTGTTTAAAATATACATGGAACACAATTGAAATATCTAGATCAAACTATCATACTCTGACTCCACCAGGAAGATGTATACATACTGCTGGAGTATGTGAACTCAGTAAGACCTTTGATCCAGTTCACAACAAAAAGATCAACTGGCCTTCCTGAGTATACTAACTTACACAGAAAATGGATTTAAGACCTTTGTATATCACAAGCCATCCACCATAAGACAATATCATAAAGAAAGAGATCATCTGATGCCAACTAGTGGGCAACCTGAGTACATACCAACAAGAGATGATCAGCATCAAACATATCCTCTAGAGTAACAACTACCCAGCAAGTATAACATCAAATTATGCAAGCAGAGACAGAAGGGTCAAGGAGGAAGATTGGAAAACTCTCACAATCTGTCTCTCTTATGTCAAGGTTTTTTGAGAAAGGATTCAGAACATCTGTGGTCCATACAACATCAGGACAGTATTTAGAAGTAGCTCGACTTTAAAAGAGAAATCTCTACCAAATCAAACCTTACACACATGAGAACATGACCCTGAACTATTACATTTCTGCACTTGTGACAGCATATAAATATGAAACAAGCCAAACCTTAAAAGTAAGACTGGAGGAATGTTGAAAAGTTATCATTAGGGATGTGACAATGAAAATAGGCATGGCTGATCATGTATGGAGGAAAAAGGGTGCTTACCAATTCTAGTGGAATGAAATAAAAAGTGGGGCATGGCAAAAGGATTAAAAAAGAACAGTGATGGCAGAGGAAGCCAAGCTGCACGAAGAACATGAAGTTTAAGGATCCAAGCTCTAGCTTTAGGATTGTTCCACAACACAATGGCATAGGAGATTAAAGCATTAGTTAGTGAATTTGGTGACATAGTAATTGTGAGTTCAGTCTCTGGACTGTGTGTATGGATATAGACAGACTCAGTGGAAACAGGATAACTGAGCAGTACAAAAAAAATGGTTGGGAGGTAACCAAAACAAGGTATCCTATAACAATTTAGCTCTGTAGATTGAATAAAGGGTTTAGTATGAAATTTCTTGAAAGTTACCTGGATTGACAGACATCTGAAAAAAGCAATAAAAATTTTAGCTCATAAGCACTGTATTGGGGATGGGGACTGATAGACCTGGGTGATGTCTTACCAAAATATCCTGCATGAGACATCATTATGAATGTAAATCACACAGTATACAAGCTCACTTAATGGCACCTGTCAACTGAGAACCGTATGGGAGAGTGTTTAAGTCTGTGCATTAAGGACCCTGATAGATAAATTCAATCTAGACCACAAAATCGATTAACATGGTTGTAATGGAATGTCCCACTCTCCCTATTGCAAACTCACTATATTAGTAGATATATATAGTGTGCACAGGACATATCTGGGGACTTGCTTCAGGAATTACTAGCCTGCTAACCGATTCCCTGTCTTTCAGTAGTGTATTTTTTTTTTTTTTTACAATAAATGCCAGTGTTGCTGTTCCTTTCACTTGAGTACCACCTTTGTCTGTTTGTAACTTTTAAGGATACAATACATATTTAGAATGGATATTTTCCAGACGTACTTTACTGAATAGCAATTTTACTTCTACATACATACATCTTCCAGACGTACCTTACTGAATAGCAGTTGTATTTCAACAAATAGAAAACAAACTTAATACAGAACCTTAACTAAACATTTAAGAAAATGCAAAAAAACCTTTTAAAGCTAAATTTACTTGTGGGTATACTCATCAACTTATAAAAAGGAATTTGGTTGATATTTGTAACATCAAAATCTTATCACTTATGTCAGTGGTTCCCAAACTTTTTTTTCCCTCTGGGCTGTATTTTTTGAATGAAAATTTGCTTGTGTCTCACCAAAATTTATGTGATAAAAACAACATTTTAAAAAAAATTACAAATAGTGCATTAAATATAATATATAACACAAATAACTTATAATATGATTAAGTACACAAATTTAATGAAAAGGTTTGAGTTTGTTTTTGACAAGTAATCACCATTATATTTGAGATAAACCCAAAGAAGCCTTTCTCTTTTTTGGTTTTTGGTTAGAACTGAAAAGGTACAAGCAGCCATAAGGCAAAGACGGTCAAGCGAGAGGGTTAAAGGGAGATAACCACGGATTCGATTCAGAACATTGTTAATTTTCTCTCCTTCAATTTACAGACCCTAATTAATATATTCTTAATACTTGATATAATGCAAAAATATCACGATAATAAAATCGGTCAATAATTATTTATAACTATTTATACTGGGACTCATGCATACAAATACAAGTAATCCATAATAATATTTTAAGTTTTGAAATCACATTTATTTTTGGCATATGAATTTTTTGAAACTGTTTCTAAATCTTTGTCTTTCAATCATTCCCTCTATCCTGCTATCCTCTTCCACATGAGGAGTGCTGCACCATTTGGGAACCACTTACTTATGTCATTCTATAAAAACTTACGTAAAATCTTTATATTCAAGATATAAGTTACTTTCTGAATTTAGACTTATTACGGAAACAAAATTGTAGTTCAAAGATGCCATCCAAACAGAAGAATATATGAATGACTTTCCACTCTCTATTTCTCTAAAAAGATAAAATTAAACATAAATTTTAAGAAATAAACATGCTGCACCTTATTTTAGGGAGTGACCTAAAAAAAGTTACATTTTAAATAGTCAAGAAGATAATTGTTTTATGGAAATTGATATTATCCTATGCACACAAGGTGGGTACTGAAAAGTTCTTAGCCTGACATCATTCCCCAAATCTCTGAATACTGATTGAACAACAAAACACAGATATATGGAGGTGGATCAGGTCAATTTTTCAACACTTCATTGCATGCATGTGTGTGTGTGTGTATTGTTTAATTATGAATAAATTGAAATAATTAATAAAAGCTAATCCTGATCATAAGTTAAACCAACCTTGACAATGCTAGGTAAACTTGGTAATGCATTTATAAAATGATGCCAGGAAATTTTTGAAAAAGATTATATATATATATATATATATATATATATATATATATATATACACACACACACACACACAAAGTAGATAGTTCTCTCAAGGAATATTTTTCAGATGTTATTCTAACTCATCAGCAAATCTTTTTGCCTATTTATTTCTGCAGCTTTTCACAGACACTAGAATCCCAACCAGACAAAGTGATGCTGCTGCAGTGACCATTGGATGGTTGGGTTGCTAAACCAACACCTAAGTTGAACCTATTTGACAAGGCTTAAGGGCTTCAGCTTCCCTACTATTACCCATAGTTGTGGGAAGAAATAGAGTCATATCTTTCCAAAAGGCATTAGTGTAAAATGAATGCAAACTGTCCCAACTAGAGATTGAATGTTTGCGGATTCTATTCTTTATGCTGTTAACTATTTCCCCACCACCAACTCCACATATTGTGAATAGCTAGGCATGGTTAATCTTTTTCAACTAGTGGGACATGTCAGATATGTATAATCATAAGGCAGGCTGCACTACTAAAAAATTCAAGTTAATTTTTCATTGAAGATGCCTCAGTCATTTTCCCCACAGAAAACCATATACGTAATGACCCGCCTTAGAAATCAGGAAAGGTTGATTGTTTTTTTGAGGGAGAAAAGATTTCTCAACACTTAAAAATTGAAGTCTGGGGGGAATAATCTTATCACAGACAACAGTGTGATCAACACACACTGCTGATCTGTGTGATTTGTTCCTCATTTATTCATTTGAAAATACAAGAAATAATTTTTAAAATAAAAAAAAAAAAAAAATATTTCTTCAGAGAAAAAAAATTTCTTATGAATGTCCGGTTTCTAAACCAATTGATGTTTACACACATGATCTTCCTTAGTGAAAATTGCCAATGGTTTAAAATGATGAAAACGTTATCTTCAACAAAAAGTTACAAAATTCAAGAAACATTTTACTTAATCATTGTTTATGTATGAGAAAATGTGAGTGAACAAAGGAGGATGAAACAAAATTTTAGTAAATTTTATTTTCCTCATGAAATTCAACATGCCATTCAGAAAGTCATACGGGCCATATGTGGTTTGCAGGCAGCTTTAACTGAATGTTTAGTGGCATATCAACTCCTTATGGGTCATTTTTAATGCCAAAATTTAATTTTCTTGAGAGCATTGGTAATTTCTTTTACAAAAATTTATTGCTGGTAATTTTTTTTTTTTACTATGAAAATATATTGCTGGTATTTTTACTATAAAAATTTTATGGTTTCATAGCGTTTTGACCCCCGTTTGGGGGTTAACTATTTACTCATAGCTGGGACCTAAAAGGTGCTACCACCTCGGGTAAGGATGAACCTTGGAACAACAGCAATTAAGAGGTGGTTCCACGCTCCTCAAAACCTTTTGATCAGAGGCCTTGCTGCTGGATGTAGTTTATCATCATACCCAGGATGGCTGAGGGCAGCAGTTTGGCTATAACTGGTATAGATGAACAACAATCATAAAGCTTCAAAAATATGAAAAAATATGTGTGAAAAATTAAATAAAAGTATTTCTCTTTTTTATTAGGAAAACGTCATTTTATTATTATCAAAATATAAAATAAAATTAGGAGTACAAGCTAACATTTGGTTTTAAAATTTGATTTTGGCAAGTTTAAGCTTGAGAATTATTTGCTAATTTCATACTGAGTAAACTAAAAAATATTAAGCAAATATTTTCCAAATTTACAATGAAATGTGTAATTAAATGTAAAATTCAAGAATTTTGTGATATTAGCTTTTCTAAAATGTTTCATTTACTACATAAAAAGCACATGAAAATAACAAAAATATTTACCATCTTTATATACACCAACAGCATAGCGTTGAGTAGAAGCAGTGCAAGGTCCTGATGCTAAAACTGTTTTATCCATGACATTACTGAAAAAGAAAATTAGCCATTTCACTAAAGTTTGCATAAACTAAATAGTAAATACTTAAGATGAAAGCAGAAAAGGAAAGCAGTAAAATAATCATACAAGAAAATATTTCATTTATTCTCATTAACATTGACAAAATGCAGACATAGCTCAGTGATTAGAGCAATTGATTTACTGCTAAGAATTAATACTTCTACAAATTTACTAGATTACTTTAATATTCTCTGCATTTATTTTTTTAATGTCATGTCTCTTCAGATGGACAATCACAATCCCCCACAGACTTCTTTTCTTCATGATCTATGAATTGCCACACATTCTTGGGAAAGATAGTAATGATTTCATGTTGCTTTCTCCACAATTCGAAATTTGTAGCTTTTTTTCTTAATTGGTTTCTATTTTGTCTACCCTATTATTTACCTCATAGCTGGGAGGAGAAGAGATGGATTCAAAAGACATTTAATGTCATAAGTCAGTAAATAAGTATACACTGTTCCACAAATTATAGAAACCATTTTAAGCAGAGGTTTTTAGAAAAAAAGAGTATTTGTAAAGGCAAAGGATGTCAAGATAAAAGTCTCATACACTCTACAATATTCTACAAATGCATTATTTTAAAGTGTGTTGGGAAGGTTGGTAATGAATGATAATACTTAAGACAAGAACAACACATATAAGATTCGCCAGCGGTGCATAGAAGAAGTATTTAACTGCTAGAAGTGAGTCAAGTGAATTCCACAATGAATCTCTGACTGCAGACCAACATACAGTATTTACTGCTGTATTTATGTGAATTGGAGACATGCCCATTATCATCCAGAGGTATGCTATAACAAAGTGGTAAAAGCATAGAACCTAAGCATGTTTTTAGATTTCTGTTAGATCATTTTTAATATGTGACATTTTCTTTGTTAACTCTAGGCTATTCTTATTCTAGTCTTACAAAACAACAACAAAAAAAAACAACAATCAATCACAAAACATTTGTTTTATGCATACCTAAGAAAAACTCAAATGTAAGTAGTGTAAGAGGAACAGATCTTCCTCTTAACTGTTCTTCATTCATTAATCAATGACTTTACTGCAAGTACGCTTAATGGGCACAAAAAATGTCATTGTTTGAAATTTGATTGTTAGTAACAAATAACAATAAAAATAAAGCAGATTGACTTGTTCTAGCAACAGTATTTTATTCTTATGACCTACCATACAACTAAAAAGGTGGAAATTTCCATAGGATTAGGAATTTGACCAGAAAGAAAGAAAAAAAAAAAAACTGGAGAAAATGTATTGTTGTAATAAATTGCCTATACAAATAGGTTCAGTAATAAATGCACAAAATGAAATTTGTTTGAACTGAACCAAATAGGAATAAAGTTCCTATAACATTCAATGTACTGTCCAAGAATTTTTTCATAATATTTCCTGTTGGAATTGGGAATAAGTCTTTATAGGACATAAAATATGGTAAATGATTTTCATCTTAGTTCTTTGTAATTAATGAAGTTGTTTGAAGAAAGAAATCATATCAGAAATTTTTCTTATTTTGTAGAAATTCTTTCAGTGTTTTGTAATTGAGCAAGTAAAATTTTTAAAAATATGAATAAAAATATTGTATTTTATTTATAGCTAATTGTTTTAATACTAAATTAATTTTTTCTTCATGTTTTACAGTATATGGCAAATAAAAAAGTGACAAATAACTCCTGCAGTAATGTGTTTACACTATAATAGCAGGAGAAAAAATTCAGTTCAGAAAATAAGCAGTAAAATGAACCAATTTTATCTTGGATTTGTTTTAAATGTTAATTTCTACCAGGAAAATCATGTTTTTCTGTATTAATACAATAATTTAGGAGGAATTTGTCAATAAAAAATGTATTAGAATCTAACAATTATTTTAAACAATTTTGAGGATGTAGGAGAGTCTTAACGCTCAAAAGGAAAGTACTGCAGTGACATTTTCAAAATATTTGTAATATGTCATTTTTAAAATGATATAAGTTTCAAGAGGGAAGCTTTAATACTTAAGTTTTTTTTAACATCATATCAAGTATTTCCGGAAATTTAAAGTCCATACCTTTTAAGATGGATGTACATTTTAGTATGCTCTTCTCTTATCAATAAATAATGTTATAGTTCATGTAATGCTTATCAAATGTAATTTGTAAGCCTTGATAAATGGATCATATAGATTAAGACAACTTTTTACCTGTTAAAAAAATTTTGTTCGGATGGTTTGTATTGTCCATCAACAATCAAAGCCATTTGTTCACCTTTGCTGTAAGCATAATTAGGTGTGTGTGTATTAAGAGGTAATTCAAGTTGAATCTGTAAGAATAAAAAATAATGCATTATTACATAGCAATATACATAGTAGGTCAAAAAATACCATAATATTATCTAAGTTATGTTTAGACTAAATAAAGTGTTTAAGTTATATTTCAACTTGAGTTTATATAAAGGCCGAGTGAAATGATGTCTGAAATTACATAATCTGACCAAACAGAATTTATTTTGGAGCTTCTGTTTCAGTAATTTTCAGCACCCAATCATAGAAGAAAAAAAAATCAATGATAGATCAAAATTACTTACTTCTTTCTGGTTTGGCTTCACTTTCACATTAAGAGGTTTTACATCATCATAAGTTAAATGAGAGGGTCGCACAAGATACTGAAAATAAAAATTAATCATACCTTTTACGTAATAGAAGGAATATATCAGAGTACAGATAAGTAGAAAATTAATCTTTATTTTAATAAAATTACATAAACATTTTGCAAAAAATACTTGTTAAAATTGAATAATAGGCAAATTATTATTTACATTACTTTCAGTCAGACTAAAGTCCTATTCTTTGATGTTATTATTATTAAGAAGTCAAGAGTGTAATGATTGGAAAAACAGCCAGGCAGGAGTTTGTTCCAAAAAGCAGCAGTTCTTGGGAAGAAGCAGTGTGAATGGAATTTACCTCTGTTTGATTATGAAGGGAATGGGGATGATTCACACATGACATAGCAGGTCCCAGTTGCAAAGGTCAGGGCTGGAGGGATTAAGGAATGTAGCTCAACAGAACACATGCCACAGAGATAGTGATAAAAAAGTGAGAAGCTTGCAATGTTTTGTCTGTGGGAAAGAGGTTGTAAGGTGGAAAATAATTCATCACCGATAAGGCCGTGTAGACACTTTTGGGCTATCAAGACAGGCAAGTGGGGACTAGGCAGCTCCAGTCCAGATATGGCAGCAATACTTCATTTTTGGTTTTATCTGGCAGATGTAAAGATCAAGTATATTAGGGGGAGTCAGATGCTTACTAAAGTAGTACAATGAAATGTTTCTTTTTTTTTTTCTGCATCTTTAGATATAGATCGGCTATCAGAGTTCTATTTGGAGGTCTGGGGAGAAGTTGAGTCCCAATATACATTAGCCTCCTTGAAAGAAGACCCATCCATGATGATGGGTGAAGGTTCAAGGTCTGCTCAGTGGTGGTAGGATGTTACTAGTTTGGTTTTGGCCATATTGAATTTTACATGCCAGTCTTTCAGGCACTGAGCAACCTTGGCTAGGTCAGAGGAGAGAACGATCTGTTAGGTTCTGGTCTTCTAGATTTTTGGAGCTACACCTATAAACCGTTATATCATCTGCATAGATACTAACTAAGGATCAGGGTATGTTAGGCAAATCATTAATAAACAGAAAGAGGGTAGAACCAAAGAGAGAACCCTGAGGAACACTAGCAATGATCTTATGGGCTTCTGATGATTGGCTGATAACAATGACCTTCAGGAACCTACCTGTTAGGAAGGACTTGGTAACTGAGAGAGCCCTTCCAGAGATTCCGTAGCTGGAGAGTTTATGTAGCAGTCCTCGATGCCTTATGTATTTCAATGATCCTCATGATCTTTTGCATAATTATAATATTTTAAGTAAACAAATTTGACAACTGTATAGATGTTAGGGGTCAATAATTGATTAGAGTAAGATAAGCCTTGTAACTTACCTGCAGAAGATAAAGATTTTCTGCTAAACTTTTTGATAAGTAAACATCTACCTAAAATGAAAACCAAACAAAGAATTTTAAACATTGTTCATAAATAAATATTTTATATATTGCTTCTAGTAAAGAGATGTTTTTGTATTGATGTATAAAACCTTAAAAATGTAATCTATTTTAATTTTCACAAAGAAAAGAAAGGTTGATTAAACACAAATCTTGTAAAATGTTGATTGCATGCAAAAATAGAAATTTGTGAAGCAAGGTAATCTAACTTTTGATGAATAAATAAAATATAACATTTGGTAATTTTCTAATTTATAGAAACAGAGCAATACTCCTTATTGCTTTTTTTTAAAAATCTTGTATATAAATATTTTTTTATATTGCTTGAGGGTGGATCAATAAGTGTGTAAGCTGATATAGATACACATATATATATATATAATAAAAAGGCTTAAACACTAATATTCCATGGTCATAATTTATTCCATTGGAATCGTAAATACGATCCAATTCATCAGACCTACAAATTCAAAATGATTCAAATGATTTTGAATTTGTAGGTCTGATGAATTGATCGTATTATGATTCCAATGGAACAAATTATGACCATGGAATATTAGTGTTTAAGCTTTTTATTATATCCTTACTCTGTACTAGACATTGAGTTCTACCTGGATTCTTCCTCTTGGGTTTTTTTTTCTGAAAATATACATGTATGGGTATTTATATATTTTGCATACGTATGTATATTTTCCACTAATACCTATATATATATATATATATATATATATATATATATATATAGTTAGCTGAATTTTGATGGGTAATTGTCACTGTATAATCTAAATAAATAAACAGCAAATTCTGCCTGTGTGTGTGTCTGAGACCTCTCTAACGCAAACCACACTTGTGCTACATGAACATATACCTTTTTGGAATCAAGATGATCTCCAGATTAAAAACATGCCTTTCATATGGTGCTTGAATATCCAGCATTGGGATTTGTGTCCAGATAAAGAGGGAACAATTAAAAATTCAAATTTTAAAATAACTGAAAAAATTAGTGATTTTAAAAGTTTTTAATTTATATTGAGTTTAAAGAAACACAAAATCTCAGTGAATTTAAAAAAATTTGTTATAAATTCAGTTTAAAACGTCTTCCAAACTTTGTGAATTGAGGAAATCAATTTTATTTCTTCAAAATGCCAAGGAATCAGAGTTAAAGTGAGATGTTTTGTGATGTGAGCTTTTGAAGTTCCAGAGTTTGTGATTTGAAGAACTCAATTTTCGACCTGAATTGGAATTTCATCCCAAAAGTGTAAAAGAGTTTATCAAACACTCTCAAAATTTAAATGTGTTAACAACCGAAAATTGGGGTGGAACTGACAAAAAGAAAATAGATGACATGCATCACTTCACCAACAATTAACCTAAAACCAGACTATAGCTTGGCTAGGAAAAAAAACAAAAAAAACAGCAACTGGTAATCAGTTCTTGGCATATAAAGAAAGTATGCAAAACATCTGTGACAAAGACACTAGCAACAAGAAGTACTTCTGGAACTTCATGTACAGGAAGGGATTGCTAAAAATCAGATGCAAAAGAGTGTCAAGCTGCTGCTGAAAAACAGATAATCATTAACTCAGTCATCAAGCATGGTGGTCCTGTTAAGTCTGTTAAAGGTGTACAACAAGCAATGGTTTGGAAGCACTGAAAGATCAACTTTGATATCTGAATGTTCTCTTAGGTATCAACATCAACACCAGTGGAAGTAACTTTCAGCTACTTGATGACAGGAAAATCAGTTGATTGCTCTTCACCTCTAAGACAAAGGAAAGAAGGCACTCAGTAATTCTGAGTATTTAAACATCTCTAGCAGTTATGAAGAAGAGGAACCACTTCAGGTAACCTTCAGTTATGAGCACCAAGGCCAATGGGTTGCAGTATATTATGACCCCCCCCAAAAAAAAACACATTGGCTAAGTCATTGATATTGTATCTCTATTCAGTGCTAAAGTTTTTAGCTCCAACAGAGAAGAAATTATGATATCTGATGGCCTTCGTCAGATGATATTGGACAAGATGGGACTTTGATGTAATCTAGTGATTGCTTGATATGGAGCATTCCAGAAATATTTGCCATATCAGAGGCTTATGAGGAAATTCAGTCAGCAATCCCCATTAAAAGAGGAAGTGTAGGAGAACCATTCACAATGTCCAGAAAGTATTTTCTGTCAGTTTAAAGCACTATTATAAAGTATTTGTTTTCATTTTGTAAAGCAAATTTCTATGTTTTGTGGACATTACTGTCCTGTTTATGAACAGTTGGAAATTACAAAATAAGATTACAAAAAATATTGATGATATTATAGTGAAAAAGAGTTGTTTTGTTGTATTCCTCATCACAAAATTAGTAAAGTTTCAATCAGTATTCCTTCCATGTTTATTGAAGAGGAGTAGAGGTTTATTCTTTGTGTCATGTCTAGGATATGGATCTCAGATGAGATATTATGATTACTTGCATCATTTACATTACTTGGACTGTTATCCTCATCTTCACTGCCATATTCACAATGTTTCTTCAGGTGATTGGAATTTCAAACCAAACTTCATCCACCAGGGTAGATTGTTCTAGTTCCATATTTCAGTTATTTCCCTTTAACTCAATGCTCCACTGCTGTGGCCTGCTATTGAACTCTCAACTATTTGGGTCTAGTCACTGGATCTAACCAACATCTTTATACACGGGGCCATGTGTCCTTGAGGACATCGGTGTATGAATTTTGGGGATTTATAAACCTAAAATCTCAGCAAACATTTTTTACCAGTGCTCATATTGCAATTTCTTCTGTTATTATTATTGCATTTTTACCAGAGCATATATTGCAATTTTTGGTGTTATTCATTGCTTTTCTCTAGCATTCCTTATTACTGGTTCCCATATTGTATTCATTTCTATGCTTGGTCGGCTCAGATTTTTTTGGCCTAGCATATGTGCTGACTCCTTAAGTTTTTGTACTTTCTAGTGATGCTGTCTATTATTTCAACCATATCCCACAGGGGGCAGTGATCTCCCTTTTCCTTTCATATGTGGTCAGCCATGCCTGATTTTTCTATTTCCTCTTGTGTTACTGCTTTACGATGTTCTTGTAGTCTTACCTTAAGGGGGTGGCCTATTTCTCCTTTGCATTTCTTTAACACAGCTGCACAGGATGGCATACACACAGTCCTTAGTCATGTTTTCCTCCATGAGAGGTCTTACTTAGAAGAGGCACCTGCAAAGTGTTGAACCACTTTTGAATGTTGTCCTGATGTTATACGGACCACAGATCTTTTGTATTTTTTCCGATAATCCCTTCACATAGGGTAGGCAACTTCAGTCTTATAATACGAAAACTTAAGGAATCAGCACATTTGCTAGGCCATAAAAATTTGAGCTGATCAAGCACAGAAATGAATATGGGAACCAGTAATAAGGAATGCTAGAGAAAATCAATGAACAACAACAAAAATTGCAATATAAGCTCAGGTAAAAAAAAAAAAAAATGCAATAATAACTGAGACATCCAAAAGAGGCATGACATGTGGAATTAGAATGGTGGATGAAGTTTGGTTCAAAATTCCAATCACTTGAAAGCCAGAGCATACAACAGACAAAATGTGAATATCACAATGAGGATAACAGTCCAAGTAATATAAATGATGCAAGTGATTTAACTATCTTAACTTTTTGGTGATCTGACTGATCAGTGTTCTAGTTCCACAATTAGTGGCTGCAACTTTTCATTAGCAGGGTACAGGATTGACAGTTTTCTGGTTGTTGCATCAGACTTGTTGTAAGGAACCCAAACTCTTTGGTAGTACATAGAAAGGCTGCTCTGATCAAGTTGCATAATATTGGGGTATTTTTAGTGACATAAAAAAAAAAAAAAATGGATACTTTTTTTTTTATGACAAGTTCAGTATAGTATACTTTTGACCTGTTTTTGCCCTACTATCAAAATCAATTCTGGCTGTTTTTATATAGTGTAAATATATTTTTTTTTCTTTTTATTGTGGTACTATCAAAAAAAAAAAAAATTGTCTTCATCTCTATTTAGTTCCACATGCCATGTTTGATTGAACTCACACTCTTTGAGTTCAAAACCCGGTTAAGGCAGTGGAGAACTTTCAGAGGGGAAATTAGCAGGAGATAACTGACATCCATCAAACATGGCACGTGGAACTAGAACAGTCTATCCCAGTGAGCGTAATAAAGGGTTCAGTTCGAAATTCCAACCACCTGAAGAAGGCCGGAGCGTACAACGGCCGAAACATTGTGATAAATATGGCGACAAAGATGAGGACAATAGTCCGAATAATGTAAATAATGTACATAATACCTCATCTCAGAAATATAGACAGACTCTCTATTTTGCTATAAGATTAACTTGCAAGCCATTTTAAAAGGGAACATATGAGCAATCAAATTTGCTCTTCTGTGTCATTTTTACAATTTTGATTGTCATAATTTTCTCAATGACTGGTCTGATCTAAGAATTAATTAGCATTATCTTTTTTTCACTTCAAGACTACCTTAGAATAGATTCAATCACTTTTTTTTTAACTTGTTTGAAGCCTGCAACTTTATTTGGCTTTTTTAACGCTCATAACACATTTACTAATTGAGCTACAAAGATAAATTTGGTACCGCTTTTTAATAGATTGTCAAGATTTCTATGCCTGTATTGAAGGTTTTTAGATATACTGAAGATAAAATTTTAGTTTGGGATACCTAAATGTTGCCTTGTTCAACACGAATGGATCCCATATCAGCTGATGAAGTAAACGTCCCATCGATGTAATTGTAACACCGCTTTATTAAATCTATTTTCAAAGACAACCTCGAATATAAGAATAGTGATCAAAAAATTACTTCTATAATTGTTAACTGCTTATAAAATTCAAATAGCAAATTTGCTATCTTCATATGGTAGAAATAAGTTGTTTTTTTTTTTTAAATTTTAAACCTGTTGCAGTTGAGTAGTAAATGATTTGCATATTTATTAGTCAACTAGACAACTCGTGAATGAAAAACTCCTTCAAGTAATTATTAATCAATGTATTTTTTAAATAAGTAAATCATAAGAAAAACACTATAATACGAAAGTTTGAAATCGATATAGAATTCTATATGAAATTTTAATCGTTAAAAACTAAAAGTATTATTACGGTATGTTAATTGCTGACACAGACTGTAATACACAGAATTCACAAACAAGTAGTTTTCAAATTAGAATAAATTTTTTAATCCCCCACTAAAAGAGAGAACACGCATCTTTTCTTTTGTGAATTGTAACATTGTGTAATACATTATAGTTTAAAATTATTTATAGGACTAATAATTGGATTTCAGTTTTCATTCTCCGGTGAGTACGAAGCTTCCCTAATAAAGACAGGTTGTCAGAACTGAGTACTGTAAGGATTTTATTAGTTTTAAGAACACGCTGAAGAGGTCTAATGAAACCTAATGTAACAGGAAAAATATTCAAATTTAAATTTAATCTCGAATTAAGAAAACAGTTTTCCTAGCCTGAACTATTTTGTGACAAAAAAAAGCAATATTATTTTTTATAAAAATGAATTCCTCTGGAAAGAATTAAGAAATAGATTAAACCGAAATTACTTCATAATATTAACAATAAACAGATTTTCTCCAGAGAAACAAACGTAATTGGAAAATTAGCAGCATTTATTTAAGTCTAACTAACATGTAAACGACTGCACGGTAAAGAAAGAAGAAGCATTAACAACAGAATAATGCGGAAGAATCATCTATTGCAAGTAAATAAAAAATACGAATATTAATATTACACAATGAAATGAAAAAATAACGACAATAATATACATTTTATACTATTTTTTGGACAAAGTATTCTTGATTAGTGCAATTATAGAACATTTAACCAACCTCGTGCGTCACCGGATCATCTTCGTCAGCCATCTTGGAAATAGCATGTAAACGCATGCGCAGTTTTGATTTCCGGCACCGAGAAAATCTTCCATCTTTTCTGTTTTGTTGTTCTTGACAACTTGGGAGGCGCTTTATTGTGGTGCAACAGTTAGCAAGCTAGTTTCACAAGTCATATTTAATTACTAATGCTATTAAATAGTGAGTTCGATCCTAACTAGGAAGTTCTATATTTGTGGCTTCGTAAATTAGGGAGAATATTAAAAGTAATTATCAGCATTTGTATTTCATTTGACTGAGCATTGAAGAAAAGTTTGGCTGTTGACTTTAAGAATCGGTTTTACTTTTATTTTATTTTATTTTTTTCTAAAAAAAGAAAAACTTTAAAAAAAATTATCTCATTCTCATACTATTTCTTTCTTTAAATGTGAAAATTATATTGACAACTTTTATATAGTAATCCGATAGAAAAATAATTTATAAATTATAAATACGCATCTTTTTTAAATTAAAAGGGGGCGAATAAAATTTTAAAAAAAAAAGAAAAAAATCTTTTTTTTAATGTTGGTATGCCTTTTTTAAAACATTCTTAACAAGTAGAAATGCATCATTACATAAAGATCAGCTACTCAGTTCGTCATGAATTTTCCCAATCTGTCAATTTTTTAGGAAAATTAAATAAAGTGCACGAAGGTCGACAATCTCTCTCTCTAGCCTATTGTGTGGCGTTCGCATAATGTCACACTAAAACCGTAATAGTACATGTACCCGTTGCTAGTGTTTTGAATGTGAGGTCAGACTTTTACAACATTTTAAAGGTGTATTTTCTTTTTCAATTAAATTCCTGCAACTGCATCTTTGTAGCAAACAATCTTAGTATTTGAGATGTTTGCACGAGAAAAAGAAGTATGAACATATTGACTTATAGAAGCTCTGCTATTATTTATTTATTTGTGTCAGTTGCCAGTAAAACTTGATCACTCTCTAACCTCTTCATTTACCTCTTTGGGTAATGCAAATCGCCTGGTGTAGATTTGTGTAAATGAGCTGGCATTTTTGAGTTGACTGACTGAAGACTTGTTGCAAAGTTTTGTATTTTGTTTTTAGCAGATACAAACTTAAAGGTTTTTTGGGTTTTTTTTTTTTTAATATACTTAGATCAACTATGATTGGTTGATAATTTACTTTTCTTTTTTAATCTGTTTTTGTGTTTGTTATGTCCATAAAATTTTAATCTTAGTTGAGGTGTTTTTTCTGAAGCCTACTGCTTGAATATGCATATTAATTCACTTTTTTTAGTAACTTTTTGACGTGGATTTAAATTATTATTTTGTCAGTGTGTTCATGGTTGAGTGGTTAGTATTCTAACCATAAGACCCGGGTTTGAATCTCACCATGGTCAATTTGTCAGGTAGGTGACTTCTTGATAATATTGACCTTGAGAGGTGATCCCAGTGAGCAGCACCATGAGTGAAATTGGGTAGATGAAACTATTTAGAAGTCATTGATGGTTGTGTTAGTCATCATGACTTAGGGTTTGAGCATACTGGCTTTATTCAAATAGTCAATTATGTCAGATTATGTGCTTTCTCCTAGAAATTGTAACTAAAGTCTTCTCAGTATAGTTGCAGTATAAATCACCAGTTGGATTTGTGGATATTGAACAAACAAATGTGCCTGAGCAGGCATCTGCAAAAAGGATTAGCTAGCCACCTTGTCAGACAGGGATACTCGGATACTAGTGGCCAACCATACATGTATTTTTATTCTTAAATTTTGAATATTACTTCAAACTTAAACATAAACTCCTCTACCAAATATAAATTTTTGATTTTTTTCCTCTTTAAAGTATCATGCTCAAGTTTCATCGACTCTTAACTCATCTGAATCACTCTGAATTTCATGTGAACTGTCTCATAAGTATTAGTTGATTTATTATAACAAGCCAGCTTCTTAGAACCAGATTGTTGACACTATAAGCAGGAGCAATAAATGTATTTGTTAATGTTCACTCTTTCTTTCCACCATCAACAATATTCCTGATTTTAGCATTTTGGTGTTGAAAGAAGATTCTGCAATATCATTAGTCCTGATTTGACATCTCAGCTCCAGTCACTTTCCCACCATGGTAATGTAGCTTTCCTGTGCCTTTCCTATAGATACTTTCATAGTAATTGTTCTGATGAACTTTCTTCTATGGTACCTTGACTCTATGAATGTAAGTGCAGTAACAGATTGGCATCATTTTACTGTAGAAAAGGCTAGATGTGACAATGAGTTTTATGCTAACAGTTTACACTTCTTGCTTGTGGAACTCTCTTCCGACTTCTTACATTTCAGTCAAGTTTGACCTTCAAAAATTTAAATGCAATGTCAATTGTTATTTTCTGTCTTTTTAATTTCTGTTCTTTTATTGTTTTTGCTCTTTAATAATGTTGTTTTTTTTTTCTTATATTCTTTCACACACAGTAACACTCTGCATCTTAATGGCTTTGTTGCCTTGTTTAGAGTGATTAAAAAAAATAGGAAAAGAAAACAAATCTTACCTTTATTTGTATTCTTCCACCAAGTGGGATTTAACCAGTAAGTGCATATGAACTAAAAATATTTTTTTAAAACTAACCTAGAGTTTAATATGACAAAGTTCAAGTGGTCAAGAGAAAGGGTGACAGTAAAGATACACAGAAAACATATCAGATTTTTTGAGTTCACACCCATTTTGCACCAACTCAAATTTATATTTATACTGTTTACATCATTCAGACTATTGTCCTTATCTTTATTGGCATATTCACAACATTTCAGCCATTGTACACTCTGGCCTTATTCAGGTGATATATATTGGAATTTTGAACATTTACACACACACATATATAATGCGTATGTGTATGTGAATTACAATTAATGAGATCCAAATGAATTATCTCATACAGATGATTTGGCCATGAAGGAGCATTTGGTTAGCAAGGTCGAATTTACTGTATTTAAACTTCAATGTTCCATGAATCTCTCACATACATTCATATCTGCTCATGGCGTATCAAATGTAAACAAATGACGTCACACATTATGAAATGGACAAAGTCTGACAATTATTTTAAGACAAATCGGTAAAGGCATGTCAAGCTAAATGATGGTTCCGTATAAGATACAGGTTCGAATCTTGTCAGGACAAATATTTTCTGTGAAAATTTCTCGGACATCCAGGCCAGTAAATGTTGTTTAATACTGTTTATTATAATCAGAGCATTTACTTAAATATTTGTATCTATAAAAAGAATGTATAAACATAATGTCTTAAAATAATATATATACATATATATGTGTAAAACTAGAGAGACAAAGCAAGAGGGTTTAGATAACTCTTAGATATCAAGAGAGATATCTGTCGCAAGTGTCTGTTACTGAGAATATCCTAGAATAATTAACAAGAAACAAGAAGACTTATCATGAAGTAATATCCAATATTGGTGAAGAACTGCAGCTATTCAACAAGAGTAAAAGTCTTTACACTACCAATAAAACAATGATAGAATACAAGTTGTCAAAAATTGAAAAGGTAAATTTTTCCTTTTTCTAAAACTCTTCCAAACTGCATAATATTACCGCTGCTAAGAGTAATGGCAAAATGATGTAACCTATCAGGATAGCAATGTTCAGGTTTTACCATCTGATACAATATTCCACCTTAAAAAAACCTCATATACATTAAGACCTCTTTATTGACAATATATCTGTTGGTTATTGTATAGTGGAGTTGATAGTGGACACATTGGAGCTTCTTCAAATGAGAGTTAGAATAAATATACAAACAACTATATGGGGCTGGTGCAAGGGTCTTGTGCCCCCACCCCAAATCTATGATCCAGCCCTCCCCAACTCTACATCATCTTGATTTTCAAGGTAGTATGCATATAAAATACAAATTTATTGTAACCTAATTATGTAAAATAATGAATCATATGCAATATAGGGTGAATGGTTTAACTAGAAGAATTGAAAAATAAATACACTGTATCTAAATACAAATTAGAGACATGTGATAATAAAGCATTCCATCTTAAATAAATCAACAATTTGCTGCGGCAATTTTTAACGTTAACTTGAGATTTGTCTTGTTAAAAAGTTGAATTTTAACACATACAGTATTATAGATAAAAAATAGTGAATTTTATAGAGTATTTTTTCTTGGATTTGCATGTGCAAAACAAATTCACAGATTTGACCAAAAAAATTAAAATTTAAAAAAACTGATGTCAAAATGCGTGGAAATTTTTCATCCTTTAACAGTCAGTCATGATTAGTTTTAATTTGTAAATATATATAAATGTCGGTGGAAAAAAAAGCAAGTTTTGATATGATAAGGGTGACAATGCACAGTCCGGGTCCCCCAATCAGGCTTACCCCCAGTCAGGGGTAGTACGCACTGGTCCTGCAACTATGTACAACTAACAAAAATGTAATTCATTACCTCAGCAAACTAAACAGAAAAAATATGAAAAGAGTGAATGAAGGTATATAAAGATGTCTTTAGAGTATATACATACGTGTTCCTATGACAGATTGTAAAAGACTTATATTTCAGAAGAGTTCTTTATCTGTTGATATGGTAGAATTATTAGATATGCTTATGTGTAGTCAAGTAAGTTTAGCATATTTTATACTATGTACTATTCTGTGATATGTTCAATGCAATCTGAGTGGAAAAAAGACGTCTTATCTTTAAGGCATCCCGTGGAAAAAGAAAAAGGATAAGACATTTATGCTCCCTTTGTTATGACAATGTCATCTAGTGGTCATTAGCAAAATCTCTTGGCAGACATGTGGGATAATCCCACATGTTACTCTCAAATGATGAAATCTGTGGATAATAACAAATCATGCATTTCAGGTATGTCTAAAAGTTTTTACTAAGTCAACACCCAATTTTAAAAATATAATTTTAACACTTTCTAATACAATATATTGATATCAATTGGAACATTTTTCTTTTCATGACTACCATCTACAAATTTAGATGATGGGAAACGCTCATATTAATAAAGCAGTGACATTGGGTCACTCAAACTTTGATATTTAAATTAATTTTTAAAAATATATTTTCAAAATATGAGTGGGTGCTGAAAAATTCTTGGCCCTACCCACTTCTCTAAAATTAATATTACAATGATAAAATATCAGAATACTGATTTTGAAAAGTGGGTTGTCTCAAGAACTTTTCAAAACTTGAAACTATCATTGTTAAGAAAACATCTATGATGGGATGCTAAAAACAAAAACGTTTGATCAAATTTTGAGAACTGGGTTGGGCTGAAAACTTTTCAGCAAACACTTGTATCTTACTCCTTTGAAATATATTTTGCAAATATATATGTCATGACCAGTCATAGCCACTCCCACTCAAAACAAACAAAACCTTAATTTTGAACCGAATAAAAACTATACAGGATGTATCAAAAATAATTTTACAAACTTTGGGGGTGGAGGTGGGTTCCTGACATCAAAACAAGATACAATGTCTACATAAACATATGTCCAAAAGGCCATTATTGTACTTCAACACAACAACGCATAACAAATGTTCAAGATGTCCTCTGCTTGCTTCTACACATGCATGCACCTGGCGGATCATAGACTGACAGGCCCTTTCAAATATTCCCACATGGTATTGAATGGTTTCGCAGGCCCCATGACATGTTGATGAAGCATCTCCGCATTATTAATGTCTGCTGCATAAACTAATTGTTTTAGGTGGCCCCACAGATCAAAGGATTGAGGTCAGGGGAACATGCAGGCCATGGAACCTGTCCTTCCCTACCTATCCATTTTTCATAGTAGATATCAGCCAGTGCATCGAACAATGTGACTAAAATGTGCTGGAGCCCCATCATACATGAATCACATGTACCTTCATATTAGCAGGAATACATCTTCTAGCTGGTCTGGAAGTGTGTTTGAATAAAAATCCCTGTAGACAGCTCATGTAAGATGTGCTGGGAGAACATATGGACCTACCAGATAGTCACCTACAATTCCAGCCCACACATTATTCATAAACTGATGCTGGAGTCAAGCCAGTATTGTACCATGGGGATTTTGATCCACCCACAAATACTGTTTGTATAAATTTTGTTATTCCATCTCTTAGAAATGTTTCCTCATCCGTAATCAAGACTGAAGAAACAAACAACAGATCGGCAGTTTATGCAATAAATCATCGGCAAAAGTTCTCCTGTGGTAAGTGATTAGAAGATGAAAGACCCTGCACACATTGCAAATGATATGGATAGAGGAGCTACTCTTGAAGTACCCTCCATGCGGTACTATGAAATGTACAACATGCTAGGGCCACTTGATGTGTGTGGATACCGTGATCATCTCCAACAACCTGTAGAATGTGTTCTTCATGGTCAGATATAAGAGCAGATCTCAATCAATAGTTTGTGGCGTGATAGATCTTTTCTCCGCAACATGACGATAAACAGCAGCAAAGGTTGAATGACTCGGCTTTCTTTGGTCTGGAAACGTAATCTGATACAGCCATGCCCATTATAGTTGTGGCCATTAGCATTCACACAGCCGAATGTAAAAATCATATCTGCTTACTCACGATCTGAATATCCAGTCATTGTTAAACGGAACTCTTCTCAGTTAATTCACTACTATACATGTTAAATGTTGAAGACACACTAGCCACAAATGTACTCAAAAACAAAGTATTTGTGGATATATGTTTCTATGGACTTATGTCCGTATTATAGTAAGAGGAACCTGCCCCCAAAGTTTGTAAAAGTATTTTTGATACACCCTGTATATACTCAAATTCAAACAGACCCAATGCCTTAGCAACAGCAACAGATAGAATTTATCAATTTTTGTATACATGTAAATAAATTCTACATTTATTTACCCCCTACTCAATGTCCTCTTTTGTTTAACACTTGTATTTACATTTGCTAAGGCAGAGAAGGAATTAACTTCCACTACAGTAACAACAAGTTTGTCTTCCAGGTTACCTATTTCTGCCTCCATAATGTTCTTACTGGTATGATGTAGTGTACCAGTAAATTGGTATTATGGATTCAATGGGTTAAAAGCCCAAAGTCTTAGCAGATCATGTGAAACTCACTGGATTTCTTTCCTTTAGTATACTTTGTTTTCAAATCATTGCCTTATATTTAATATAAATAGGATATTTACATTTTCTGGATGGATATAGCTATATAATTATATTTAAGCATACATTTAATAAAACAGATACATGCAAATTTGATTTTCTACTTTGGGTAACAAAATCTGTTGAAAAGGATCTAAGCTTTTAGAAAAAAAAAAATCAAAATAGTCAATTTCTTTTCTGTATATACTGTTTCTCTATTTAAAATAAATTAAAAAATAGAAAATGTTGATGAAATTTTTATTCTTTACTTATAAAGTGGATCAAATATTTATCTATTCATAGCCCTGTGTGTAGACGTAGATAACATTATAGATTTACTCATGTCTATATAATATTAATGATTCTTGCTATTCACATGGCCTAGAACTTTTATTCACTAGTTTTTCAGTATATGTAATTTAAATTTAGCATTGTTATTAGACGTAGTAGTTTTGATTGTATCATACTAACACATATTACAGCCTGTATGAGTTACAGTTTCCAGTAGATATCAGAATTGTATAATTTTTAAAATTAATTTTCCTGGATAGAAGCATTCAGATATTAAGTCACAGAAAAAAAATGTTAATTTAGAATACCAAAAAATAAAAAGTAATGTAATTCTTTTTTTTAAGTGTCCATTCTGTATGAACAGAAAAAAAAATTAAAGCAGGAAGAATAAAATTGATATAAAAGCAGTTTTTGAGTTTATTTTATTATCACAAATAAATTTAGTTCATGAATATTAGGATTTCTTAAACAATTTTAATTTAAAAAAAATATACAAAATTATAGAATTTTAGTCCAAGCGAGAAAAATAGGTCATTGTATGGGGTTGGTTTGGACTAATTATCTCATTTCTGTCTAAATTTATGGGACAAAAAGTTATTTACTTTCAGACTAATGTCCTCATGTTTGTTGTTGTTATCATAGCATCTTGGCTTTTGTGTTCTTCAACCTTCTTCAGGTGTCTGTTGATCCAGTTAACTTTCAGATAATTTTGAACTGAACACTATTTTATCTACAGAAGTTGATTGCCCTTGTCTAGAGATATCTTGTCTGTAAATTTGGTGGCATAATAATTCCAAGTTCAAATCCTGGGATGGGTAGTATAGACTCAATAGAAACAGGGTGTGCAATAACTGAGCAGTACTAAAATGAACAAGATATCCCTAGACATGGACAGTGGAATAAGAATGATCTATCCCTATAGATTAAATTAAGGACTCAATTTGAAATTCCCTGAAGGTTACTCAGATTGACAGACACTTGAAGAAGCCCAGAGAGTAGAACAGATGAAACATTGTGACAATAACAACAAAGATGAGGAGATTAGTCTGAATGTATATAATAATATCCCTGTCTTCATCCTCAAACCTCCACAATGTTTCGACTGCATATCTTCCAGTCTTTCTCAGCTATTTTGTTTTCTGGAATGGTGTTAAACCAGGTTCTGGTGGAAAAATGGGCATTTCCTATTACACACATCCCATCCGGAGCTAACATCTTTGACTTCTTGGAACCAGTCTCTTCCTGACCTTCCCACTGAACTCATGGCTACTTGTTGAACTTTACATATACTTCTATGTCTTAGGCCAAGTTGAATACACAGTTCATAATGTGTTTCTTCTTGACTAATGATTTTCACAATAAGAGGAGATATGTATGCTCTCTTATTCTAAGACACCCAGTGGGTAAATGATTGAAGAGTTGTGGAAAAAAAGAAACAAAATAGAACAACAAAGACATAGAAATTAGTTTGAACCAACCTCATACAATTATTACTATATCTGATCAAATGTATTTGATGACATGAACTCCCTTCTGCCATTTACATTTAATGAATTATGGAATTGGGTTATGTTTTTAAAGAATTAATGGACGTTTTTAATTCAACATTTTAATACTTCAGTTGTTGTTTTTAGTGGATACCCATATTTGATTAGATGCTATGTTTATTTTAAACAGTATTTTATCAACTGTCCTGCACACTTAAGAAAACTTATTAAAGAAAATGTGCTGAAAAGGGGATGCAGGTCTGAATCCTGCTGCTGGAGGGTACATTTTTTTTTTTTAAGTTTTCTTGAAACTTGTGCAGCCTGGTAGATGAAATAAATAGTATTTAAAATAAATAGAGCATCTACACAAATATGGATATCTACTAAAAATAGCTTTTGGAGTAATAAAAAAATAAGGCTACATACAAGTATTGATGGTCTGTGGCACTTGAAAAAACAGTTCATCAGATAGCACAACTTAGCATATAAAACCCAGGAGATATTTTTGGAGATATTTGACTTTGGAAAAATATCAGGTTTTTATACGTTATCAAATACAATTGGTATTTTATTCATTTCTCATAAACAGTATAAAATAATAATAATAATAATAAAATAAACAAATATGTATAAAAGTTTCATTTTTCTTTTTTACAGAATCATTTTAAAAGTCTCATATTATTCATCTAGGGAAAGATATTTTGACAAAGTCTAATGTCTGGAAGAGATTGTTGCCTTCACTTCACAACCTGTTTTATACATAAATAACTCTTGAATTTGTGAACATCAAAATTATGAGGTTTTTGCTTGTTAGCTTTATACTGGAAGAACTCTTTACAGAACATCCCTGCTCTTAGCAGAGCTGCATCTTGTTCTCTTTCATCAAGAATTCATTTCTTCTCATTTTCATCAAATGGTAAAATCAATCTTCTTCCAATGATGCTTACAGAGGAGAGTCGTCCACGTTTATACATTTTTATGGCATTGACAGTTAAAACCCTGTAAGAAAAGAATAAGATTTCAAAACATTATGT